ACCCGGATATAAGAGACCCGAATATAAGAGACCCGGATATAAGAGACCCGGATATAAGAGAAACCCGGATATAAGAGAGATTTTCTCTGGTCCCAAATTAGAGCCTGTGTTAATGTATATAAAATAGACCAAACCCGGATATAAGAGACTTCTTCTCCAGTCCTGACAACTCTCTTATATCCGGGTTACACTGTACTAAAAATTTGTGTCTGGTGCAGACTAATAAAAAAAGAAAGTACCAAAATACTAGGCCTTTTTTTGTTTTTCTTCAAGGCTTTGACAGCATGAGCCTCTTAAAAAAAAAAAAAAAAAAAAAAAAACTAATAACTTGACTGATCTGCAACCCAACTAAAAGATATATGGCGTAACAGAAATACCTCCCACACAATTAGCTACATGAAGACACTTATCAGTGATGTCTTATGTGGGTAGTATTTCTCAGAGGTATTTCGGTTGCACACTTTACAAGACAGTGTTTGAGAGAAGGGTTGAAATGCTTTGTTTCTCCAAAATTAAACTGCTGTTAAATTTTGACTCCAAACTAACATCCCCCACTCCACCCACAAAAAAAAAAAAAAAAAAATCATTTTACTTTAAAAATTATAAGCAGCAGTCCTTGGTAAAGAATATCAGATAATCTATATGGGGTGGTTATACAATACTCTCAAGAAAATATCTTTAAGAAAAAATTTACAAGTGACTACATTTATATGATGGGCATATAAATATAGATGCATAAAGGAAAGGAAAAACTTATATGGGTCAATTCAAGAAAAGAATATCTAATACAAGTTTTTTTTTAAAAAAATTATAAAAAAAGATTTTTTTCTTAAAAAAACTCTTTTTTGCTACCTTATTTTTCTATTATTTAATTCTCTACAAAGGACTTAGGCTAACACTATTAGTAGGCTAACACTATTAGTAGGCTAACACTATTAGTAGGCTAACACTATTAGTAGGCTAACACTATTAGTAGGCTAACACTATTAGTAGGCTAACACTATTAGTAGGCTAACACTATTAGTAGGCTAACACTATTAGTAGGCTAACACTATTAGTAGGCTAACACTATTCGAAGTAACTGCTTCAATTATTGGGCCAAACTTTAATAATCCTAAATTCTTTTTCAAGAATTATTGAAAGAATAAAATGGGAGAAATTTCTGATGGGTAATTTAATCATTATTTCCATTTTCATCATTCTTCTTCCATCTAGAATTCCTGAGAGAAATTCTATTTCAAAATGCCAATTTTGCTACCTGCTTAGCAAATTTACTTTTCTTTCAAATGAGAAAGTTTTATTTAAGAATTTTTTTTTTTTAATCATTTGATGATAATTTGATTATTTTCTTGGTTTCAAAAACTGAGTGTATTTTTTGGATTCCATACCAAAAATTAGCTGTAAAAATCTTACATGTAGAATTATTGAACATTTGAACAGTAAAAGAATTGTGTGTGAGAAACTCTTGAAAATCATTTTTTTTCCTTTTATTGAGAAAAAAAAAAATAAAATGCTAAGTTTTCTTTGTTTCTGCAATTGGTAAGAATAATATAAACCATTTACGTTATTTACATTGTTCAGACTGTTGTCCTCATCATTATTGCCATATTCACAACATTTCGACCATTGTAAACTCAGGCCTTCTTCAGGTGATATATATTGGAATTTCAAACCAACCCTTTTAGTCCACCTGAAGAATGCCAAAGTTTACAATGGCCAAAACATTGTGAATAGGACAATAAAGATGAGAACAACAGTGCAGAAGATGTAAATAGTTTAAAATAGTAACAAGACCTCATCTCGGAAATATCAACTAATATAAACCAGTTGCAACAAGACAGGTTTTGTTTCTCTTCCAAATAAAAGGGTTTTTCAAATGGTATTAAATATTTTCAAATGGTATTAAATGGTATTATTATATTATTATTATAAATAGTATTAAAATGGTATTAAAAAATTTTCAAATGGTTATTAAAATAAAACTAAAAGAAATGTGTGTTGAGAAATATCCTGAAATTTAACCTCGTTACTTTATGTTGCCGTGGTGACGGCTTAGAGAGAGAAAAACCCAATGCCTAATTGATTGACCTAATTTTCATGTTAAACATGAAATTTTCATGTGTCAGCTTTTCTTCAACCATCAAATTATTAACTGGCAACCAGACTCAGTTGATTTGTCACAAATGTAGAAGCAGGACATAGATATCATCCAAGTGGTTAAATTTAGAAAAAAAAAAATTTCCAACTCGCAACAGTTCAACTTATCAAAGACCCTGCTGCACCCTGATGACGACGACAACGACAGACAGAATCCAGATGCTGACGCAAGAAAGATTAAATAAAAGAATAACAGAGTGAGTCACCATTTTCTTCCTCTCTTTCTCATTAAGGTGGGGCCAGAAGCAACCAGGATGTTGAAGGGCCAATTTTCATTCTTCCCATTTTTTAATTCATTCTCTTCTCTCCATCCTTAATAGATTTCTTTCACCAAATCCAAAATTATTTCTTCTTTCTCTTCTCATAGTCAAACATTTACTCTTGATCTATTTTTTTTTTTTGTCAGTGCCAACCAAAAATATCTCGGGGGGTCTCACAACAAGTCAAGCAAGGCCACTTTCATCTCTCTGCAACCCCCCACATAAATAATATCAAGCAAATGAAAGTGACCAAAACCCACCTACCCCACCCTTTTTCAACAAGTTTTATCTGAAGACATGGGCACAAAGAAATACTGGATGTACTTGGAGGAATTTTCATTGCTAAAATTAAAGTTTTATAATTTCTTCATGTAGGAAGTGTGTGTGTGTGTGTGTGTGTGTAGCCATGTCCCCTACCAAGAAAAACATGATTTAGGATTCAATCCCTATTAAGAGAAAGATGGGGAGCCAGGGGAGGGAGGTATCAAAAGTTTTAGTTTTTAACCTGTTCTTACTAGTGAACCCAAAAATAAAACATTAACCCTAATTGCAAAATATTTTGGTGCCATACAGGGGGGAGGGGGACTGTACTATAGCAGAAGTTCTTTCTGATGATTAAAAAAAAAAAAATTGATTGGCTGTGGCAAAAGCTCAGGACTTCCTCCCTATGCCACTTCATCAATTTCACAACAAAAATACAATCACTACATCTACAGAGAGAGAACGATAAGGTATACAATAAAACAACTATTCCTTGGTAACTAATATCCTATTTTGGAATTAGAATAGGGATTCCAATTGTGGAACAATTTGAATACGTTAGAGGCCAAGAAGTGAGAAAAGCATTCTGTGGCCAAGAACTGGTTCGTATTAAGGCTTAAACAATTTATTTTTCTTTTTTTTGAATTAAATATATTTAACCTTTAGCACTCTGTAGGCGACTACTTTTGCCAAGCAAAATGTTAGTACTGCCAATGCAAGTTGAATTTGAATTTCTTGGTTGTGTAGTCATATCCTTCTATGGCAACACAGAAAACAATCTCAACTGAAATTGAGAGCCAGGCTACTGTAATTTCAAATATATAAAACTATATTTTGAGGGGATTTCATATGCAGTAAAAGAGGAAGTAAGATTTATAAATGATACAGATTGTTGAATGTTAATTTTTTAACTGTTGAGATATGGAATAAAAACAGGTTAAAAAAATCTGAATGAAATTCTTACTGAAATGCAAAAAGATAAAGAAAACACAATTTATAGATCATAAAAATATATAAATATCATATTTGTTTTGCACCCATGTCTTTAGGCATACAAATTTCTATTCTTCAAAACACAAGTTACCTTACTATACATGAATCCATTAGTCATTATCTTTGGATAATTCAGTTCATTACCAAAATTAGCAATTATTTACACTATAAGACTATTGTCCTCATCTTCCATATTCATGATGTTTCAACAGTTGTACACTCTGGCCTTCTTCAGGTGATGTACGTTGGAATTTTGAACTGAACCCTTATTTCATCCATGGGGGTAGATTGTTCTCATTCAACGCCATGCCTCTTCTGAATATCTCAGTTTTCGGCTAATTCCCTTTAGTAACTCAATTCTCTAAGTTTTTGTTCACCTCTGCTGTGGCCAGGGATTGAACTCACAATTCTTTGGGTCAAGTCACTGGATTACTTCAACCAACACCTTTTATCTACTGGGCCGAACAGAGATGAACAAAAACTTGGAGAGTTGAGTTAAAGGGCAATAACTGAAACCGAGATATCCGAAAGAGGTATGGGATGTGGAACTAGAACAATCTACCCCAGTGGACGAAATAAAAGGTTTGATTCAAAATTCCAATCAACTGAAGAAGGCCAGAGCATACAACAGCCAAAACATTGTGAATATGGCAACAAAGATGAAGACAACAATCCCAACAATGTAAAGAGTGTAAATAATTACAATACCTCATCTCAGAAATTAAGACGGATACAAAATTAACAAGCTTGAAAAACTTGCCAGAACTCGTATTTAACCACAAACAAGTTTTTTTTATTGCTTTCACTTCAACATGAAGACAATGCAAAAATTAGAGAGTCAAGCCAGAATCAGACAGAAATATTCAATTTCATGAAACTTGGGGGTGGGGTAATCATACGAATGTTAATTTTTTATTCATGTACAACAAAATCACAAATGAATAAACCACAAGTTGTGAATACAATGTGAAGCAAAACAAACAGCTACAAATCAGAGTAGTGCCTTCCTAACAGTCAGCATCCTTTGGCCCACCTCCCAACCCTAAAAGAACATCTGTCTTCAATACCTATGGTCATAGCCATGATTTGTTGACAATTAAGTCAACTGATGCAAATTAGCACGATGACTGCCATGCAAATTTAGAAGTAATGGCATCCATGTTGACAAACTTATTTCCAAACACCCACTTATTCAAGAGACCAGACAGACTCAAGTAAAAAAACTTTTTTTGTCTTGGTCTGGTTTTCTTTGATGTAAGCCAACATTTCAAACAAGGATTTTTCTTTCTCATCCTCTTCAAATTGAACATGACACACTTCATGATGAACAGGTCTAAACATTCGAATATTTGAGCTGGAGAGAGAAGGAGAGAAAGAGAGAGAGAGAGAGAGAGAGGAAATGAAAAACAAAAAGATTTCCTTGCCAATAAGCATGGACTGGCTTCTGGCCAGAGTTGTCCCACCTTTATACCTGCTCCCTGTCCCCTATCTCGCATGGTGCTAATCTCGTTCCATTAACAACTCCTCCTCCTTCAAATTCCACTATGTGTCTTACTTAATAAGCTGCTGGTCTGCCTACAGATAGATCCATCCTTACTAGACTTGCATTTCCAGTAATCAGCGCAATCTCTCACACGCCTCCTGCTTTCTTCTGGTGTCAAAATCTATTGGTACTTATTAAAAGGCATTCACTTCATTTTCCCTAGCTTACAGAGTCTCCCTGAAATGAGGCCAGTGGCCTGATGATCCATGCCTGTCCTTTTCTAGGTGGATATTAGCAGACTGGGGAACAGACAGACAGACAGACAGACAATAAGACAAAGTCAGCTTTCTCTCAAAGAATTATACAGGCAATCATTCACAAACCAAGGCGACTAAATGTTGTTATAAGACAGTATATTAATTAAGCATCTTCCCAGAGCCCTATAATTATCTTTACATGAATTTATGCATACTAGTTCCCCTCCTATCCATATAAACTACCCATTATCAAACCTCTACCTTGAGTGGCCCTCTGGCCTTGTACAATGTGAACTTTACTATAAAAAAAAAAATATGCATTACACAAAATGCAAGAGTTCTCAATGGAAAATAAAATTTATATAGATCAGAGATTAATTTTTTTGATTCATTTTCTATGGTTTATCAACCATTTCAGGTTATTTAAAGCCAGAAAATATTTTCAGATTGTAAGAAGTCTTTTTTTTCTTTTTTCAAAAAAAAAAAAAAAAAAAAAAAGATAATGCCTTAATGATACAAGTCTTACTAATTAACCCATAGCTGGGAGAGAAGAGGTGGATTCATACCTAATCAGAATTTGATTAACAAGAAATTATGTCGATATAAAATGGCGGGGTGGATCAATTCTATATTACAATTAATATAAACTGATCCTTCACTTTGTGGCCACAGTAGTTTCCATACATTTATATTTCAGAGAATGTAAATAAATGCAAAAGACCTGCTGGAGTAGATAATCAGTATTTGACCAATTTGTTTTTTACAGCTTAACCTTTTGCAGGTTATTTAAAGCCAGAAAGTATTTTTAGAGTGTAAGAATTTGTGGGGGGGAATAATGGTTTAGTGATTCTATTCTTACTAATTAATCCATAGCTGGGGGAGAAGAGGTGGATTTATACCTTTCCCAAAGGATTTTTCACATATTTGATTTTAACAAATGCAATGAGAATTGAAACTTGGTCCTTCAATTAACAATCTCTAGACATTATCCATTACACCACCTGCACATCCAAGTTTACATCATTTAGTAATTTCTATCCAGTCACCCATCTAGATACTGACCAGACTCAGCATACCTTAACTTTGATAATCATACAAGAACTGGTGTTTCAACATGATGTGGACATAAGACAAAAGCACAAAAATACTAAAGTTATCGTCTTTGTTTTTATATTGTTCACAAAATACGTTCTTGCAATGTGTTAGGGGGTGGGTATTGTTACCGACATTCTATAACCAGGAATATAAAGAGTTTCAAGTCTTTCAACATCATCAAAGGTTTCGGAACTTTCAATATCAAAGCGCCTTCCCCCAGTTGGCCTAATCAGAGCTGATCAAACCCCAATCCACTTTTGCACAAATGGATACCATTTCATACATGTTCATTTCCACTTAGGAACCACCAATCAAGCTACTAAAATTTTATGTTTTAGTGACTTTGCCACTGACCAATGGCCTTCAGGCATTGATCATCCTCCGCCCACAATTTTATTCAAATTAAGCTCTCATTGTGATTTGACACTAATTTAACCAGCATAATCTGAGGAAGGTTCTGGTAAATTGTATTTTTTTTTTTTTTTTTTTTTAAAACCATTTCACCCAAAGCAAGGAAATAATGCCACTAAGATGCAAGGGTTACTTAAAGTGAGAGAAAAGTCACTATTAAGGAGGAAGAACAATAAAAGGTTAGGATTCAAAGAGAAAGAAGACAATTGACATTGCATTTATTCTAAACTTTTAAAGATCAAAGTTGACTGGAAAACAAGTAGCTGGAAGAGAGTTGCACAAGTGCAAGAGAAAAAACTGTTAGCATAGAACTTAGCGATTACACCTAGCAATTTCAACTGCAAAATGATGGGATCTTGCTGCCAATGTAGTACTGCATTTAAAGTCTAAGTACCATAGAGGAAAGTTAATCAGAATAATTACCATGTAAATATTTATAGAAAAGTCACAGGGAAGCTATGTTACAGCAGTGGAAAAGTGACTGAAGCCGGAATGCAAAGTCAGGATCAATAACATTACAGATTCTTCTTTGTAGCAGCAGACTAGATGTGACAGTAAAATTCAATGTGGGGAACAAATGGTGGACTTATAAAGGTTCAAGATAGATTCTAGTAAGAAAAATTGTCAGGCACGACTGTGAACCAACTTTCCTAGCAGTAGACCTAGCATTTGATTCAATATTTCCGCTTCATGTCAGCAGAAAGTTAGTCCAAGAAGGCACAAGGAATCACTCTCCTGGAGGTTAGCATCAGCCATACTGACGTTCTCTAAGATGACTAAAAGAGAGCAGTTCAAATTTTATCCTATTTTTGTTCTACACTTATGAACATAGAATTAATAATGGAATCCTTTTCCGTGACATTTTAGTAGATGCTAATTGCCACAATATTACAACAAATATAAAAACACATGACAAATCTCTTCTCTTATAAATATAATGGCTGACTGCTCATATCTGAGTATGCCTGTCTACTCGGGCAGCTAGCCAATCCCCATTAAAGACTCCTGTTCAACACCCACAGAGCCCACCTCTCATTTACAACAACTATGCTGAGCAGACCTTAGTTACAGTTTTTGAGAGAGAGCTCATTATCTAGCATGAACAACAGGCTGAGGAAGGCCAGCACACTCAAACTCTTGGTCACGATGACTTGTGATTTTGTGCTAGCACAACTGTTGATGGCATCCAAACAGTTCCATCTACACAATTTCACTCACAAGTCTGGGTCAACTGGTGATATGGTTTAAAGGCACTTTTCCAAAGGACCCACATGCTGGGATTGCCTCCCCATGCAAATAACAGCAAGTAGTCACCTCTATGACAAATCTACCATGGTGAGATTCAAACCTTGGTTTCTTGGTTGGAAAGTGAACGTTCTAACCACTTGGCCACATACCCATTATATGTTAATTATTGATTGCACAAGAGAGGAGGATTATTAAACACTCTTATAGATAAGGCTATGTAGTAAAAAGCAATTCAAGAACTCATCTATGGGGTCTGGCACCAAACAAGTCAACAGTTCCAGCTTATGATTGGAAATTTAAAAATAATCACAGACCGTAATAGACAGCTTTCAGGAAGAGAATTTCCAAATTACTTTGGAGATGTAAAAGATGTGTTGGGAAAGTTCTGTATATTCCCAGAAGGACTATTTCAAAGAAGATGGTGACCAAATTTAAATAAGATATGAAATACAGGGTGCAGCAACAATATCTTCCACAAGTTGCCTTACCATTACGTGGAAGGTATTTCTGATGCATCCTCTATTATTTCCTCAATAGGAAACCTTTTTTTTTTTCTTTTTTTTTTTTGGCCTCATTGAAGAATTTATAATAGTACATCAAGATAAATCTCTTCAGAATTACATAGGAGGATATGCTGAAAAGTTCTTAGCATAATCCAGAAGCTTTTAGAGAAATTTAAAAAAAAAAAAAAAAAACTGATGCCAAGTTAGATTTTGAAAAGTAGATTGGCCAGAGAACATCACATATTCTGCATGTTAAACCACCCCCAATACATACACTACATTATCAGAAAGTCTTATCATGCAGATTCTGCAAAGAATTCTGGGAATGAACATGTACAGAAATAAGCATAAGTGGCTTCAGAAGAATTTCTACAACAATTTTAGACATGATTCATTTTGAACTTCAAAGAAAACTGTATTGCTAGAGCATAATGGTCGTGCAAACTAACAAAAGAAGGGACAAGCAGAATTCTAATTAAGATGCTGAGCAAGGCAATGGACTTCCAGAAAACAAGATGCCCGGATCATTTGAAAATCAAAAGTAAATCCAACCAACAAGATATGCTTCAGATTTTATTTTGTTTTACTTATTTTATGTCCTTTCTGGATTTAGGAGATCATGCACCCCCCCCCAACATCTTTCCCTTCTTCATTATGTGAATCATCAAAAAGAAAGATAGTAAATCCCTGTTACCTTCTCAACAGTTTTGAATTCAGAGTTGTTCTAGACTGGCTGCCAAACAAGGCCAGTCAGCTTAGTCTACCTTGCTATTTAACTCAAAACTGGAGGGAGAACTAGATTCATGCCTTTTGCAAGGGTATTTTTTGTGCAGAACTGAATACAACAAACTAGGCCAGAATTTGAACTGCATTTGTCAAATTTACTTCCTGCACCAATAACCACTGTACTACCTGCATATATTTGATTCTTCTTTTATGTGCTCTATTCCTTCAGGACATGATCAATCATGGTCCTCCACAACTTCCTATCTTTGTAGCTCTCAGCAATGTCCGCCTTTTTACTATTCCTCCAATTCCCTGTTCTACCCTCCATTTAAACATGTTCATTAGGTAGCTTACACAAAGTTTCCCCTCTGCTTATTGTGAGAATTTCATGTGAGTGTCAAATTCTCCAAGCCCTCTTTCCTAATGATGTGTCCCAAAAATTTTAACTGTCTTTGATTCTAAATACAAGCGTAGTGTCCTTTTTGTTCCCATTTTCCTTAAAACATCCACATTCCACGGCATTCCCACTAACCGTCTTCAGAAGGACATAAACAATTCCTTCATATATTTGATTACAAAAACTAAAAACAGAGGGAACAGTTTTATATTTCAACCAAGTCATGAAATAATATCGCATTTAAGAAGCTCTGTAAAACATCTAGATCAAAAACCAAGTGAATTTAGTATCAAATCTTGTTGCAATATAGTCTC